CTGCACAATGGCCCCCAGTCTGATTTCTTCCTCATCCAAACGGGGGTAAAACAAGGACGTGTACTGGCACCAACTCTGTTTTCCATTTCCTTGGCTGCCTTCCTAACTCGTGCCAGTGCCAATTTAACCGGCGGGGTGGACATCCAGTATCGGATGAAGGGTCTTTTCAACATAAAACGACTCCAGGCAAGAACAAAGGTGTTAGCAACTAAGATTACTAAACATCAGTATGCAGATGACCTCACCATTGTCGCTTACACTGAACGCGACCTACAGAAGATCCTGAACACCTACATAGATGCGTATGCACACTTTGGCCTTGAGGTGAATGTTCGTAAGACTCAGATTCTCTTTTAGTCTGTCCCTGGTTCAGACACACCTCCACCATCCATTCAGCTTAACGGTATTACCCTCTCTAATGTTACCCACTTTCGGTGTCTTGGCTTCCACCTGTCCACCACCGCGGACATCGATGAAGAGATTCAGCATCGGATCAGATGTGCATCTCAAGCCTTTGGCAGACTCCATACCCGTGTCTTCAGCTGTAGGAAGCTGAAATTATCGATAAAGTTGCACGTATATCGAGCAGTGGTCCTCCCCACCCTGTTATATGGCAGCGAGACATGGGTTACATGCAGGAGGCACCTCAAGGCACTTGAAAACTTTCAACAATGTAGTCTGGGAAGACAAGAGAAGAACTGCCAGTATTCTCGCTGACACCAACTGTAGGAGCATCGAGGCTACCATTATCCATGAACAACTACATTGGACTGGCCATGTTACCCGCATGGACGACAGTAGACTGTCAAAGCAACTACTTTACAGTCACCTAACGAATAGTAAACGTAACGCCGGCTGGCAATTGAAAAGGTATAAGGATAGTCTTAAGACAAACCTGAAAAAGTGTCAAATCGACCCCCTCACCTGGAAGACGATTACTCCACACCGTAACGCTTAGAAGAACACCACACGAGAAGGTCTCAAAACTTTCGAGTTAGCCCGACTACAAATCGAGGCAGACAAGCGCCAACGCCGAAAAGACGCTGCCTCCGCCCCTCCCGTATTGGTCTCTGTAGCCACCTGAGAGGTCACCAACGAAAGTGACATCATTAATAAATCTTATCATTGTATCATAGCTGGATGATCGTCATACTAGATTCCGAATGACAGCAAAGTAGTAGTAGTAGTCATATGTACGACTTATGTATGCAGACATGTATATTTGTATGTACTGTATATATGTATGTAAACATGTATGTATGTATGCATTTATGTATGTATGGATACACACACGTTTGCATGAACAGTCACTTACACCAACACAAACTCTCACATACCACCACAGCAACAAACACTGGACATATACCAAAACACAAACAGTATATTCTAGCGAAAAACACACACTACGCTCGACTCCTTGCTTTAAACAAACAGCGTTAGCTAGAACTTGCTTAAACAAACGCCGTACCTAAGACTTGCTTTAACAAACACCGTACCTAGAACTTGCTTAAACAAACTCCGTACCTAAAACTTGCCTAAACAAACACCGTACCTAGAACTTGCCTAAACAAACACCGTACCTAGAACTTGCCTAAACAAACACGGCAACAGGAGTTTGTTTCTTTCACCGTCCAGAAAACATAGTATCATTACTCTTGTTCACTTCACCGTATAAAGAAAATTCTAAATTTGCTGTTTACATGTAGTACACACTTCTCAATTGTCTCTCTCTCTTTCTCTGTCTATCTCTCTCTCTCTCTCTCTCTTGGCTTTGTCTGTCTGTCTGTCTGTCTGTCTGTCTGCCTCTCTGTCTCATTTGTCTGTCTGTCTGTCTCTTCTGTAGGTATTTGTATTATAAAAGGGTGAGATTTTCCTTAGTGGATAAAAGAGAATTAATTATGAACAGGTAATTATCATATCTCATTGGCCAGAGCAGGTGTGTTGTATCGTGTGTTCCTACCCTCGTCTCTCTCTCTCTCTCTCTCTCTCTCTCTCTAACTTCACACACACACACACACACACACACACACGAGACATACAGGTAGTGCTTTCTTCCTCTCCTTTCACCAAGTCATTCTCTTACCTGGTAATTACTCAACTGCTCGCGGAATTCCAGTTTTGACCTGCTACTGTCTGTCTGTCTGTTTTTCTGTCTGTCTCTTTATCTGTCTGTCTGTTTGTCTGTTTGTTTGTAAGTATTTCTGCCTGTCACTTATATTCCATCCCCATCATATGTGCTAGGTATCAATTAGCCTACCCTAACCTGACCTAACTTGACCTAACCTGAGAGGAGATGGAGTGACACCGTGGGAGGAGCCAAAGTGATACTGTGGGAGGGGCCAAGGTGAGACTGTGGGAGGAGCCAAGGTGAGATTGTGGAGGCCAAGGTGAGACTGTGGAAAATGGCTGACTGTGAAGGGGTGGTGATACTGTGGGAGGGGCCAAGGTGAGACTGTGGAAGGCCAAGGAGACTGTGGGAGGGGCCACAGAGACTGTGGAGGGGCCAAGGTGAGGGCCATGGACTGGGCCTAAGGTGAGACTGTGGAGGCCAAGGTGAGACTGTGGAGGTGGGAGGCCAAGGTGCTGGCCAAGGTGAGACTGTGGGAGGGGCCAAGGTGAGACTGTGGAGGCCAAGGAGACAAGTGGGAGACTGTGGCCAAGGTGAGACTGTGGGAGGCCAAGGTGATACTGTGGGAGGGGCCAAGGTGAGACTGTGGGAGGCCAAGGTGAGACTGTGGAGGCCAAGGTGAGACTGTGGGAGGCCAAGGTGATACTGTGGGAGGGACCAAGTGTGAGGTGTGGGAGGCCAAGGTGAGACTGTGTGAGACTGTGGGAGGCCACTGTGGAGACTGGAGGCCACAGAGACAGGGAGGGAGAGGTGAGACTGTGGAGGGGCCAAGGTGAGACTGTGGGAGGCCAAGGTGAGAGACTGTGGAGGCCAAGTGAGACTGTGGAGGGGCCAAGGTGATACTGTGAGACTGTGGAGGGGCCAAGGTGAGACTGTGGAGGCCAAGGTGATACTGTGGGAGACTGTGGAGGGGCCAAGGTGAGACTGTGGGAGGGGCCAAGGTGAGATTGTGGAGGGGCCAAGGTGAGACTGTGGGAGGCCAAGGTGAGACTGTGGGAGGGGCCTAGGGGCAGACTGTGGAGAGGCCAAGGTGAGATCAGGGAGGGGCCCAGGAGATCAGGAGAGGCCACTGTGAGGCCGAGGTGAGACTGGGTGGGAGGCCAAGGTGACTGTGGGAGGCCAAGGTGATACTGTGGAGGCCAAGGTGAGACTGTGGAGGCCAAGGTGAGACTGTGGGAGGGGCCGGTGAGACTGTGTGATGGGCCAAGGTGAGACTGTGGAGGCCAGGGCCAGGTGATACTCTCAGGAGGGGCCAAGGGACTGTGGAGGCCAAGGTGAGACTGTGGAGGCCAAGGTGATACTGTGGGATGGGTCAAGGTGAGACTGTGGAGGGGCCAAGGTGACTGTGGACTGTGGAGGGGCCAAGGTGGAGACTGTGGGAGGCCAAGGATCTGATACTGTGGGAGAGACTGTGGAGGCCAAGGTGATACTGTGGAGGGAGGTACTGTGGAGGCCAAGGTGAGACTGGGGCCAAGGTGATACTGTGGGACGGGCCAAGGTGAGACTGTGGGAGGGGCCTAGGTGAGACTGTGGGAGGGGCCAGGGTGATACTGTGAGAGGGTCCGGGATGATAGGGTCGGTCCTCCACCCTCAGTGTCAACACTCATCATTGTGTGGCGACCAGGAAGCCACCAAAGGTTTATTGATTGCACCCCTCGTGTGTGTGTGTGTGTGTGTGTGTGTGTGTGTGTGTGTGTGTGTGTGTGTGTGTGTGTGTGTTCCATTTCCCCTGGCAATACCACACCTGAGGGCTTCATTCCCCGAGTTATTTTCTCCTTCATTACGGTGATCCACTACACGTTTCTACACTCCCTCCAGGTAAATAATTAAACAGGTAGCGGCTCTTCCTCCTCTCTTCTGGAGGTACCTTGTCCTTTATACGTCACAGGTGGGAGGAGAGGGATGGTGCCAGTGTCAGTGATCTATTACCTTCCTCAAGTTTAAGCTTTTTGTCATAGGAGTCACATCATCATTATACAATTCCTGACTTCTTTCTCCACCAGTCATCATATTCTTAGTTTTTTCCCGCCCTCTTCATCCTCCTCACCCTCCCCACTCTCCCCAGCCTCCACCCCCTCCCCACCCACTCCCTACCCTCCACCCCCTTCCCCACCCACAATAAATACACACACATATCCACAGCCCCAGGACACGCCTTTACACACCTCTTACCCGGCCAGATAACTCTACTGTATACCCATCTCCAACTACCAGGCGTAGACCATCCTGGGAGATAATATTATTACACGACTCAAAACCTTCAAGTATTGTCAAGGTTCGCAAGGTTATAACTCTGTGTGTAGATAAACCTGGGGAAAAAAATAGATGAAGTGATTTTGTCTGTCTGTTCCTGTCTATGTGTTTGTGTTTGTCTGTCTGTCTGTTTATCTATCTGTCTGTCTGTGTCAATTTCTCTACAGGTCATCATTTTCAAGGGGGCTAAATCATCATACTCAAAGGGTTAAATTATCATAATCAAGGGGTTCAATCATCATAGTCAAGGGGTTAAATCATCATACTCAAAGGGTTAAATTATCATAATCAAGGGGTTAAATCATCATACTCAAGGGGTTAAATCATCATACTCAAGGGGTTAAATCATCAACCTCAAAGGGTTAAATCATCAACCTCAAAGGGTTAAATCATCATACTCAACGGGTTAAATCATCAACCTCAAAGGTTTAAATTATCATACTCAAAGGGTGAAATCATCATACTCATGGGGTTAAATCATCATACTCAAGGGATTAAATCATCATACTCAACGGATTAAATCATCATACTCAATTTCCACGTATAATAATTGACATATCCAAACTGAACTCCACTCATGATAAACTAAAACCAATCTATTTTGTTCACATGTTCACAGGGTGTTCAAGAAGACGGCACCGAACGGGAAGATCACGGTATATGTAGAGAGGAGAGAGCTAGTGATACGGGAGGAAGGAGGGATACAACCTCTTCACGGCGTGCTCTTCGTCGACTCCAACTATGTGAAGGACAGGAAGGTGTTTGGCCAATTTGTACTCACGTTTCGATATGGACGAGAAGACGAAGAGGTAAGGTGTACTTTAATTTGTTACTTTTACGATACTTTATGCTACTTTTAAGAGACTTTATGCTACTTTTACGATACTTTATGTTTCGTTTAGGATACTTTATGCTACTTTTACGATACTTTCTGCTACTTTTACGATATTTTATGCTACTTTTAGGATACTTTATGCTACGTTTAGGATACTTTATGCTACTTTTACGATACTTTATGTTGCTTTTAGGATACTTTATGCTACTTTTACGATACTTTCTGCTACTTTTACGATATTTTATGCTACTTTTAGGATACTTTATGCTACGTTTAGGATACTTTATGCTACTTTTACGATACTTTATGCTACTTTTACGATACTTTCTGCTACTTTTAGGATACTTTATGCTAATTTTAGGACACATGCTACTTTTAGGATATTTTGTGACTTATAAAACTTACAAACAAGGGTAAGGAGGATGAGGTAAGTTTTCTGTACTTTACTTTATGCTACTTGGAGGGTACTTATGCTACTTGTAGGACACTTTATGCTACTTATGACACTTACAAAAAAGGAAAGGGGGTGAGAAGTTAAGGATTCATACTTAACTGTACTTATGCGACTTATAAAGAGGTAAGGGTTATATCTTGTTACTTATAATACTTAAATAATTAGGTTGGGGAAGATGGAAACGTGTGAGAGCCACACTTTATTCTAATTTAAATTACTTACAACAGACACTTATAAGACAGAATAGGGGAAGGTAAGACGGTGAAGGACCCACTTTAGAATACGTCGCGCACTTATAAAATACTTTTCTGGCACAAGAAACACACACACACACATAAGTTTCTCTTGTGAAAAGGACAATGAAGTAGTTTATTATTATTATTATTATTATTATTATTATTATTATTATTATTATTATTATTATTATTATTATTATTATTATTATTTTTATTATTATTTATTATTTTGTTAGTTTTCAGTATTATAGAAATTATTATTATTATTATTATTATTATTATTATTATTATTATTATTATTTTTATTATTACACCTTTTCACATATCCGTTGAGACATTGTTAAATAACTATTTGACAAATTTCATAACCGAATGACAGAACACATATCGAATGACAATCTGAAATAACTGTTCGTTCATGCTAACGGAAGTGATTGACATAAGTTATGAAGTTGACAGACGTGAACAATAAACTGACAGTCTACATATAGTTTGAGAATGTAACAATTGGAGAATGACATACCACCAACAGTTATTTTAGATTGTCATTCGATTGTGTTCTGTCATTCAGTTATGAAATTTGTCAAATAGTTATGTAACAATATCTCAACGGATATGTAAAAAGGTGTATTATTATTTTAATACATAATTGTTATTGATATAAAAATCTTTAAGCTTGTTATTATTATTCATATGAGAGAGAGAGAGAGAGAGAGAGAGAGAGAGAGAGAGAGAGAGAGAGAGAGAGAGAGAGAGAGAGAGAGAGAGAGAGAGGAGGGAGAACTAAAACTCTACGCACCACACAACCCACATTTCAATAACACACTTTAACCCTACCTTTCTTCCAACTAACTCTCCCTTAGCCTTCACCTAACCCACTTAACCCTACCACCTACGCCTCCACTACCATCTACCACCACCAACGCCTCCACTACCATCTACCACCACCCACGCCTCCACTACCATCTACCACCACCTACGCCTCCACTACCATCTTCCACCACCTACGCCTCCATACCATCTACCACCACCCACGCCTCCACTACCATCTACCACCACCCACGCCCCCACCACCATCTACCACCACCTACGCCCACCACCATCTACCACCACCCACGCCTCCACTACCATCTACCACCACCTACGCCTCCACTACCATCTACCACCAACGCCCACTTCCATCTACCACCACCTACGCCTCCACTACCATCTACCACCACCTACGCCTCCACCACCATCTACCACCACCCCACGCCTCCACCACCATCTACCACCACCTACGCCTCCACTACCATCTACCACCACCTACGCCTCCACCACCATCTACCACCACCAACGCCTCCACTTCCATCTACCACCACCTACGCCCACCACCATCCACCACACCCCACTAGCCATCATCACCACCCACGCCCAACATCACCACCACACGCCCACTCCATCTACCACCACCACGCCTCCACACATCTACCACCACCACGCCTCCACTACCATCTACCACCTCGCCCACTACCATCTACCACCACCCACGCCTCACCATCTACCACCACCAACGCCTCCACACCATCTACCACCTCCACACGCCTCCACTACCATCTACCACCACCTACGCATATTCAAGAAAACTAACACACAGTCTCTCAGAATATTTCCAACACAAACGAAGTATATACACATTCTGGCAACACAAGCAACACACAAACAAGCAACACACAACACGAGCAACACACACAAGCAACACAAGCAACACACAACACGAGCAACACACAACACAACCAACACACAACACAAGCAACACACACACAAGCAACATACAACACAAGCAACACACAACACAAGCAAACACACAACACACTCAACACACAACACAAGCAACACAATATTATACCTGCAGCTACAATACATTCACCTCTGAGACACTGAAGGGCAGACTAAATTATTCCAACAAACAAAGTTGTTTTGTACCAGAGTCACGGTAAATATGGAAATTATTTACTTGCTGTTGTGGGTATGTGGTTATGTGTATGTGGTTATGTGGGTATGTGGTTATGTGGGTATGTGGGTATGAGAGTACGTGGATGTGAGAGTTTGTAGGTATGTGGGAATGGGTGTATGTGGGTATGTGGCTATGTGGGTATGAGAGTACGTGGGTATGTGGCTATGTGGATATGAGAGTACGATGAGAGCATGTGGATGTATGAGTATGTGGATATCTGGTTATGTGGTTATGTGGGTATCTGGTAATGTGGGTATGAGAGCATGAGGATATGAGAGTATGTAGGTATATAAGTATGTGGATATGTGGGTGTGTAGATATGTGGGCATGTGAATATGCTGATATGAGGGGATATATGGGTATGTGGATAGATGACTATGTTGGTATGTGGGTAGGTGGTGAGTATATGAAAGGTAAACAAAGAAATACCTAAATCCAACAAGGTGATTACATAGTTCAGTGGTAGAGCGGTCGTGTTGGAAGCAAGTGGGTGCGTGGGTTCGATTCCCGGCGGCCGAGGAGGAGGAGGAGGAGGAGGAGGAAGGACGTAGTTACCACCCACCATGTACAAAAAGTCACCCTTGTACACTTTAGTGGTAAATAAGTGCACTATTCTGGCGCCCCTCTCCTGGTAAGAGGCCCATGAAACCCACTATTACGTGTGTGTGGGTGTGTGTGGGTGTGTGTGGGGGAGGGGGGCAGGAGGACAAGGCAGAAGGGGTGAGGAGGAGGGAGAAGAGGAAAAATGGTAGAAGAATGTGCGGACAGAAGGAGAGAGGTGAAGAGAAGGAGGGTGATGGAAGAGAAGGCTCCTAATTTTTTTATTTATTTGAGTTCAGGAGTCTGTGAAAACCTGCCATAGTCTGTGGTAGTCTGCGGCTGTCTGCTCCTCCCAAAATAAACCACAGACTCAGTAAGGAGGGAGAGGACACATCCGGGTAAAGGAATTTCGTCTCTCTTTATAAACTGAATAGATCCTAGATACAGCACGTTAGTCGCTCCCGGTGCATGAGAGAGAGAGAGAGAGAGAGAGAGAGAGAGAGAGAGAGAGAGAGAGAGAGACCACCACTTCTCTTGGGACACACTATTTTAAGTCATTTTCCTACGTGATAATATTTGACACTCTTAATTTAGTAACTCGAAGACCCTTGACATATTGAGTTGAGTAATTAAGACTATGTAATTTTGTCTTTAGTGTTAAATAATGACTTAACAATGTCATTATGTATAGGGAAGTAAACGTTAATGGGAATTATTATTATTATTATTATTATTATTATTATTATTATTATTATTATTATTATTATTATTATTATTATTTGATCCAATTATGTAGATCATTAGACCCTAGACCCGCTTGTCAAGTCTAACGAGCAGATTCTTCAGTAACAAGGTCGTAGGTTGCCGTGACCCCCGAGCACCATTAAGCGGTTATTACCCTTGACCCGCCAGTGATCTTGTGACCTCCTAGGGTGTAGGGTCAATTACATCAGGGCTCATAAATATGGACCAAGGTCACTCCCTAATTATAGCGATCTTGACCTAACGAATGAGATTGGCTTAGATCAAAGAGAGAGAGAAGAGAGAGAGAGAGAGAGAAAGAGAGAGAGAGAGAGAGAGAGAGTAAAACAATCTAGAAGAAGTCAACAGATCGATGGGGAATTCAGAATAGATTATGTCGAAATATTATGCCGTCAGTGCGTCATAAGGCCGTGGCCAGGGATGGGTGATGGAGATGGGTGAGGGGGAACGGGCATAGGGTGGGTGGGAGTGATGGGGAGATGGGTGATAGGGACAGGGGTGGGGGGGGAGAGAGAGAGAGAGAGAGAGAGAGAGAGAGAGAGAGAGAGAGAGAGAGAGAGAGAGAGAGAGAGAGAGAGAGAGAGAGAGAGAGAGAGAGAGAGAGAGAGAGAGAGAGAGAGAGAGGTATTGTCACAGGAGGGAGGAGAGAGTTAGAGGAGGTGTGAGGAGAGGAAATGAGACGAAAACGAGTGAAGTTGGAGAGGAAGACGACCTCTCACCGGGGGAGGGAGAAGAGGAAGAGTGGTGAGGGTAAATGAGAAATATGAGGAAAGTGGGAAAGGAGAGAGAGAGAAAGAGGAGGGAAAGAGTAGATTAAGGAGGAGGGGTAAAAGAAGAAGCAGAAGGAGGAGAAAGAAGGATGAGAGAACATAATAAGGAGGAGGAAAGAAAAAAGATTAAAAAAAAGAAAAGATGAGGAAGAGGCGGAGAAGGAGGAAGCAAGAATGAAACAAGAGAAATAGTGGGCGAGGAAATGGTAATCAGAA